ACACAATTCTTAATTCTCCACCAATTACTTTTCCCCATGCTTATTTCCAGTAATCTTTAATGCAATTTCTTTGGTTTAAGAGTATGTCAGCATTAAGATATAATTCATGCAATTAAGTAATATCATTGATCTAAAGGTCTCTGAATATTCTCTTTTATTATCTGGTGATAAGTAATTATTACTTTTTAATGTATTATTTCCCTCATGCTATAATGTTATTAATGCTTTACATTTAGCCATTGTTGTACCATAAGGCAAAGTCACTGTAAAAAGTAATTTCTACCAAAGAATTATGAGCAATAATTTGCACAATAGGCCAAGGATTATTGCATGTGGATTTTAACATTCAGTTCTAATAGAAGTTGTGAATAATTGTGCTGGATTATGAAATTTTCACCACTCCAAAATTTTAACTTCTGTCTTTGTGGCTAAAGAAGGAAGATCTAAGTACATATTTCTTTGTATTCTTTAAACAGAATCTTATTTTAGAAAAACAACTGAAGCTAAACTTCCACCTAAGGTGGAAATTCATGTCGGTATGTATGGTAGGATTTTCTATTGGTGATTAACAAACAGGTTTTCGCAATTAATAGAACATGTTCATTTGAGATTTTTATCTTTCTCTAGTGTTTAAAATTTTTGTTCTCCAGGACTACTGATACATTAATTGAATTTTAATAATGTAAAATTCATTTCAGTCTACTAAGATAGTTATGAATTAAGTTCTAGTTGCAGTGTTTTCTATCTGCTTTAAGATAACCATCTTTGATTTATTCATTTAAACTAGTAGGTGCCGATTGTTGCCTACACCCTGTAAGAATTTTTACCAACAACACATGACTACGGACCCATTCTACAGAAGAGGAACTGAGATTCAGAGAAACAGGCACTTGCTCAATGAGGCAAAGCTGGTATATTTTATGACTTAAATACAGCACTCTTTCTACTGCTCAGCCTTGTTGTCTTAGAATGTTTTATGTAGGACTCACAAGAAGGTGTTCTGAGGGAATTGTGGGAATTATACAACCACAAGTTGTAGATAGAGTATGCTTTTCTCTTTCAACATAGCATGATACGGTATTTATTTATATCTGCATGGTTAGGTACACATTAGAAGATTGTAGTCGTTGAAATAAAGACTTTAAAAGTTGCAAATATAATACAAAGAATTTCTGTATGTCCTTCACACACTTTCCTTAATGTTAAAATTACTTTGGTATGTTTGTCAAAACTAAGAAACCAACATTGGTGTATTACTACTAATTTTATTTAAAACAATAAAATGATAATTTAATTAGACCTGGAAAGAAACATAATTAAAATAAACCAAAGCTATAAAAAACTAAATATTTTATATCCATTGTTATTCATAATTAATTTTGCTTTAAGTGAATGAGTAAGGCTAGTGATTAATGAATATATGCTAAGTGGATGCATATTGAGGCGACACTCTTAAGTGAAATAAATAGGACACACATGAATAAATTCCGAATAGTTTCTCTGGTGTGAGAAACTGAAAGTGTAAATAAGGACTAAATGTATAATAGGTAATGTGAAATAGGAAGAAAAGGGGCAAAGGGGAAGGAAGTGGGAGGGCTAGGGGAAAGGATAGAAGGGAATGGGATTAATATGAGAAAATGGAAAAATAGGAACAAAATCTTTGTAAATAGGGAGGACTGGAGGGGTTGAAGGGAGGGTTGGGCAAGGGTGAAAAATAAGAAGCAAGAGAGACTATGTAAAGGTGCAAATTTCCAATGATGAATGTCATTATATTGTATACCTAAAATGTACCAATGATTAGAATGAATAATCGATAATGTAAAATAGGAAGAAAAGGTCCAAAGGGGTAGGGGTAGTGGGAGGGGCAGGGGAAAGGAAAGAAGGGAAAGGAAAAATGCTGAGAAATGGAAAAAATGGAAATAAAGTCTTTGTAAATAGGGAAGGGTGGAGGGGGTGAAGGGAGGGCTAGGAATGGGGAAAAAATAAGAACCAAGATGCATTATGTAAAGGTACAATTCCCAATGAGAAATGTAATTGTGTTGTATACCTACAATGTACCAATAAAAGAATTTAATAAAAAAAAAGAATGAGTACTATTGAAAAAACAAAAGCAAAGGTCTGCAAAGATATGGAAAATGAATGAAACAATTGTGTTTTTCTGGTAAGAATGTAAAATAATAAATATTAAATTACCATATCATCCCCCCCCAAAAAATGAATATATGAATTTAGTGGAATTAGCAAGATATTTTAAAATTAAGCATCCCAATTTAAAGACAGATGTCCAGTTCTTAAATCTAAGCTATATTCAACCTAGAACTTTACCACATTTTACAAAGTTAGCATTTGGAATAATCATTTGGTACAATATAATATATATGACATAAATTGATTATAATATTCAATGTAGATTACAAATAAATCAATACATAAGTGGTAAAGCAAAAGTGGCTTTCATAAAGTAGTTATATTAGGTAACTGCACTTATGAAACTAAAATTACAAATACATACCAATTTTGCCATATTCAAACTGGAATATTGCATATATTTAAATATTAGTCATTATCATTTAAATAGAAATAGATAATCTCTAGAATTACCCATAGTCAGTTTCTCAATGTAGATGCTTTAAAATCCTGCCTCCCCCCCTCCCCATTCTCAGAAAAGTAAACTAAGGAAACAATTGGAGGTTAAAAGTTCATCAAAGAATTACTACTGATAATAATGAAGAGCTGGAAACAGCAAAAATTAGGAAAAGTACTCAATGAAAAATATAACCACTGATATTAATTGGATGATGTTTTACCCAGTGGAGAAAAGCCCAAGGGGTACAGTACTCTCCTTTTCTCTGGGCACATAGACAATATCCCAAGATGCCCAGCTGATGCCTGAAGCCATGGCTAGTACTAAACTTTACATATACTGTGTTCCATCCTAGTTAAACTCACCCTAGAAACGAGGAACTACAACATACAATTCATTTTCCTTCCTTACTAAGTCAAGAGCTTTACCTTTTCAGTTAAAAAAAAAAGTTTTATGGCTTCTCTTACATATCCAGATTGCCAGTATCACTATGCTTGCACTTTGGAGGCATCATTAAGTAAAATAAAAGTTTCTTAAACACAAGATTGGCCCTACTTACACAGATTACCTGATAACCTCTGATAACTGAGAGAGGTACTAAATAAATAATGAGTTAGCAGCATGTACAACATGGATATGCAGGAGAAAGGGATGATTCTTCACCCAGGATGTCAGCATGAGATTTCATCGTTCTACCCAGTGTAGTGCATGACTTAAAATTTATAAATTATTTTTGCAATTTGCCACTTAATATTTCAGACTACAATTGACTAAAGGTAACTGAAACCACAGAAAGCAAAATTAAAGAAAAAGGAGACCCATTGTATACACAATTGTCAATCACATCTAAGTGTTAACAAGCTTGTGAATCAATAAGCACTTTTAACACTTATCGGGGGAATATAAAATGATACAACTACCTTGGACAACAATTTAGAATTACCTTGTGAATATTCCTAAACTCAATGACTGACAATTCCCTTTCTAGAGACTTATCACAACCTGCATATATGTGTAATAAGTAAAGACTATTTATAGCAGCATTGTTCATGCGACAAAAAAATGAAAAATAACCTGAATATACACCAACAGGAGAATGGGTAAATATACTGTCATATATATAATCTTACAATGGCATATCAAATTGCTACTTATAAAAACTATAAAACATTTCTGCAACATTTCACATGCAACAATTTGGATACACATTAGTAACATAGTAGTAGTAAAAAAAATCTAATCACTTTAGGCCACTTATAGAATGATACTAATTTTGTGATCCTGATAGCCTACGGATCCAGCTGAGAAAAAAAAAGTTGTCCTTATCCATAGGATAAATAATCATGAAAATTCTTCTGTTTCTTTAAAACATTGTATGAAATATCCTAGGAAGCACATTAATAGACATTTTGTATACAAAACAGACCAAAAATAAAAATAAAAAAGAGAATGACACTTTAAATTGGCTGACAATATCTTAGTAACAACACTTTAATATGGTTGTAATAAATCATATTGATGGCTTAGAGAAGGGCTATAAATAGGAGAGTCCTCTTCCTATTTCTTCCCTCAATTTACATAGCCTTAGTCATATTTTTTGTCGGTAACCATACTGCTAATTGTCTAACATAGTTTTCTGGTCAGTTTTATGGTGTAAGAGTCAACACATTGACAGCCAACATTAACCATGAATCCTGTTAACTGTTGTACAAAAGTTTACATTTGAAGATTGACTTCATAAGCATAAATTTAAACTTCAGGAAAAAGCACCTGTTGAATTATACATATCCATTACCCTTAGTGCCACTGGCATACAGAAAAAGTTGAGAATAAGAAGTCATTTGGTGGGTGTCTTCCAAACAATGAAACAGTTAGTGATTCTGTGATTTCTTTGCCACAGAAATGGACACCAGCACGGACTGAGGTAGTGGAGATGAAGTATTCAACCGGAAAACCTGCAGGCCCCTGATATCAATGCTATGTGGGCTGGAACCATTGGTTGATTCCTTTTCTATTACAACTGTTCTTCCTAGAAATTATAAGAATAACAACATCCATTTTCAAGACAGAACACAACCAAAACCTAGTGTAAAGTACAAGAACTAGCCTGCTCTTTGTATCACTAAGAAAATGTAATTAATCTTGTTTCGTTGTATTATGACACTGTCAAAGAATGAAACAACTCTACACTACAATGAAAACAAAGATGCTATTTTTTCTCTAACTTATTTTCAAATTCGTGCTGCTGACCTTTTCTTAAAACTTTAAGCATCACAAGGGAACCAGTGGGAAGGGAATCATGTGCTAGCCAAGTAGTTAAAGGGCAGAGAAACTTACTGATGTGAAAAGGGATTAGTGGGGGGGGGGGGGGGGGGAGTGACCGGCCTCTCCCTTGGGGCGAGCAGGTTTAACACCAGAGTCCCACATATAATTCACAGCGCTGACGTCGTGGGTCAGGCACAGAAAGCACTGTCAGCTCCAAGGGCAGTCCTGCGACAAACTCGGGGATTTAAGGTACTGGAGAGAGGCTCACCCTAACTCCACCAGCGAGGAAAATGCAAACTAACAACCCCAGCTTGGGGAAAACCTCCCAATTCCCCAGCAGAACCATGGTTCAACACCATTGATTGTGTTGACCTGCTAATAGATGCTTTCAGAAATTGATGAGTATTACTATATGAATTAAAACTTTAAACGAAGAAAACGAAGTTACTAGGAAATGGATTTCAGTGTGGAGGTAGTAGCAAGGCATGTCAAATTTTTGCAAGTAAACTGTTATTGCTAGTGGTTTGAAATGCCTTTACACACAGGGATTTCATTTTGAAGGGAGGTTGAGAGAGCTTGTGTCCTTTTTGGGAACCCTAAAAAATCTACCTAATTCTATGTTGCTTTCCTTTTCAGGCGAATCCTCATCTGCCTCCCTGTGCCCGCCGGCATGAGCACCCCCGGCCGCCCCGCCCTGCGCCCCGTCCTGCTGACCCTGCTGCTGCTGTGGCACCTGGCCCGGGCCCAGTTTCCCCGAGCCTGCGCCAGCGCCCCTGCCCTGCGCAACGGCGAGTGCTGCCCGGACCTGCGCCCCGCTGCCGGGCCCGGCTCTGACCGCTGTGGTGCCGCCTCGGGGCGCGGCCGGTGCGAGGCTGTGATGGCGGACTCACGGCCCCACAGCGCTGGGTACCCGCACGACGGAAGGGACGACCGCGAGGCCTGGCCGCTGCGCTTCTTCAACCGGACCTGCCGCTGCGCCGGCAACTTCGCGGGGCACAACTGCGGGGCGTGTCGTCCCGGCTGGGCAGGGCCCGGCTGCAGCCAGCGAGCCTTGGCAGGTAAGGCGGGAATCAGGCACGCCACACCTAAGGCCGCCTGCACAGCACACCACTCCACCCTCTTGGTCCCCAGCCCCCAAACCGAGGGCTGGAAAGGTTAAACGCTTGCTAGAGTACTAGAGGGTCGGGATTGGAACCCAGACCTTTAAACCAATAATAAATACTTCCTTCCGAAAGATGTGTTGAGCCATCACTGTGTGCTAGGGACTGTGCAGGTATTTATGTAACTGTCAGGGAGGAACTCAGAAAGGCCCAGCCCGCACACCTGACACTGAACCTGGGGTTCACACTGAGATCCTTGCAACCCTGATATTTCAGCCTCCTCCTTTATCCCTGCGAGGCAGAGGAGGAGTTTCCCACCACCAGACCACAATCGGGCATTGCAGGTGAGCAGCGAGGCCCGGAGTTCAGCGGCATAACCCTGCATCAGAGCACTAATGGTAACCGCCTGTGGAACTCCACTTTGTCTAAGTGCCAGACACTGGACCAAGGATGTGAAAACGCACTAGTTAAGTCTTTATTACTATCAAGGCCTTGGGGCAATTGCTTTTATGTGTGTGCTCTGGTTTTCACCACTCTTTAAAGCAAATATCATGTTTATCCACAATTTACAGATGAAAACTGAGCTTAGAAAAATGTTCCCGCAGTCATAGAAAAGGCCCCTGGTCTTAGTCACCCTATTGTACCCCCCTCCTGGTTTTTGCAAGATTTGTGATGTCCAAAAAAAGTGGAAATTCCAAGAAAAAATGTCAATAGTGAGGTAGAAATGAATGTGACAGAGTCACAGATTCATAAATCCACAGGAAAGACTTGGAAATCCACAGGTAAGATTAAAGAAAGCTAAGAGAAAACAACAGGCTAGATGTATATGGGGAGAAGAAGAAAGAAAAAGACTGGAAAAAGATTTCATTAGGGATATTTTTAAAAGTTGAATTTCCCTAACCCAAAAGTCCAAAATCCAAAATACTCAAAACTAAAATGTTGATGTGATGTCATAAGTGGAAATTTCTGTAATGTCAAATTTTGTTGAATGGACAAAAAGCTGGGTGGATAAGGCATACATTAAACAAATTAGTTTTGTGTGTAGATGTGAGTACCATCCTCAAGATATCTCATGAGGTACTAACAAATATTTTAAAACACAAAAATATACAAAATCTGAAGCATGTCTGGTCCTAAGCATTTCAGAAAAAAGGTGCCCAGCCTGTAAAGTAATTGAAAAGAAATTTGAATATAGACAGATGTAACCACTAATGGGTAAGAGGAACAAACAGGCTCATTCTCTACACTTTCCCATAAGGCAGGAGTTTTTATGTCTGAATTTTTTTTTTTCTTTTGTACCTGGGATCAAACTTGGGACCTTGCGCTTGCGAGACAGGCGCTGGAACCACTGAGCTAAATCCCCAGCCCCTCATGTATGAATTTTTCATCCCTAAAGTCAGAAGAAACCTCCTGGACTTAAGTGCAGAGGAAAAGAACCACTTTGTGCAGGCCCTGGACATGGCAAAGCGTACAACTCATCCACAATTTGTCATTGCCACAAGGAGATCCAAAGAAATACTGGGAGAGGATGGCAACACGCCACAGTTTGAGAACATTTCCATTTATAACTACTTTGTTTGGACACACTATTACTCTGTCAAAAAGACTTTCCTTGGGCCAGGCCAGGAAAGCTTCGGTGAAGTGGATTTCTCTCACGAAGGGCCAGCTTTCCTCACATGGCACAGGTACCACCTCCTGCAGCTGGAGAAAGATATGCAGGTAGGAATGAGCACTTTCGATTTGGGTCCTTTGCAGACACTGTGCCTGTTTGTAAGACATTTTCAGTCACCTTGTTCCAAATGATTAGAACGTGAAAGGACAAAGTGATTTTATGTTATTAATCTGCCTTTGATATTCACTGCTCTCCCCATACTGTTATTGCTTATTAATTTAACTTGGTCTTTTGTGAAGCAAAGAGAAAGTATCCATGGTGAGAAAGCCATTTGAGACATTTTTAGGCATGAATTAGACACTAAGGAATCTCTACAGGTCCCTAATTTTTAAAAATGACTCCCATAACTCACTCCGTCCCATCTTTACCGAAGGTGCCTGGATGCCCCCTTCCGGTCTGGGGGAGCGAGCATGGTTGTCCTCCCAGGACAATCCTCTGCTACAGGCGAATGGGCCAGCAGCAGCCCAGTTTACTGGAGATCTCAGGGAGGTAGCAACAGCAACAGGAAAGGGGAAAGGAGGGAAGAGGCCAATGGCTCAAGCTTCCCCAACGGAAAGGCCGGCACCACAGCCTCTCCCTTGGCTTCAGTGCTCTGCCACCTAGGGCATGGCGAGCTCTCAGGCTTTTGTTGTTTCATTTTTACCTCTCTTTGGATCATGCAAACAGCAATAACCATTGGTGCTTTTGACCCTAGGGTCAAATGAGGAAAAGGAGTGACCCACTCAGCTTTGTGTCTAACTGGACTGCCTCCTCTTGCCAGTTGATGCTTCTGTCCAATACAGGTTAGAGGTCAAGACATGAAAAATGTCCCTTTGCATTTTGATTGTTATATTTCCCCGGAACCACATTTTCCCATACCCTATCTGAAGACCTTGCACCACTCTGTGAAATCACAGATGTTAACTTTCTTGACTATTGCAGTTGCTTTATTGTAGATAGGTGTAAGCATCACACGGTGCACCAAAAGTATATACAGTTTCTTCAAAAAAAAATAGCTCATCCTTCAGATATTGCTTTTAATTAAAAGAAATTGGCTTTTGGGGGGATAAAATGAATCTCACCTTGAGAACAGCTATTTTATGATTATTTTTTAAGCAGATACACTCTAAGCACATTAAAGTATTTGTTAGCATAGACTACTTTTTACCAACCGATCTATTTCTTGATAAACTTCATGATTTTAGAATACAAATTTCAAGGATCAGATCTCAACTAAGAAATTCATAAATTAAACCTATTTCTTATGCTTAATAATAATGGAGAATATCTTCCTCCAAGTTAAAATGTTAAAAATTAACCTAAAAACTTCTGAAGACAGAAAAGGTAATTAGATTGATTTATTGATTTTCAGAATGCTTGTACCAGCATTATTTCAAGAAGAAAAAATGTTTAGAAGAGAGGGAATTAATGTTCTAAAATACAGAATAAAATATTTGTTTGGAAGTAGTTTATTCTTCTGCAGTTTGAGTGTGATTAAATGAATTCATCTAACACTCCACATGTCATATTTTATAGCTCTGATTACAAGTAAGACATTTAGTAGATTTTTGTGTAGATAAATCTGTCATTTATAATTGACTCTAGATCTTCATGCCTTCAAGCTCTTTTCCCACGGGCATACCTAAATGAAAGTGATATAGAAATGATATCAGACCTCTAAATGATGTAGGGAAACATTATAACTCTTAACCTGCTAGATGTCAGATACACCAAGTTTGTGTCCCCCAAAATCAAAAAATGAATTCTAGGAGTAACAAAGGTTAAGAGGAGGAAATGTTTATTGAGAGATACAGCTCCTGGGAGGAAGGAGGGGTCTCTCATGGGTGGTTGGGACCCCACTTTTTAGGGGAAGTTTTATAGGGCACAAGCACGTGGGGTACAACATGGGTTAAGGCTGTGATCAACCAATAAGGTTTCAAGTGTAGTCGCCTCGGTAATAGTGGTCCAATGGGGAGTGAGTCATGTAGCAAGTGCTCATGGAAAGAACAAAGAACTTCTCAGGCAGGTGCTGTGTCTGAGGGTCTTGGCCACCCGCCAAGGGGAATGATGTCCATCGAGACTTCGTTAGACCAGGTGTTAGCACTTATCCCAGCCCTTGGGGAAGTGTGTAGACCTGGTCATTTTTGTCTTTATCCTGAGGCCTGGCCTCCAAATGATTCACCTCTGGCCACAGTTGTGATGTGTTTTCATCTTTCCTCCTGACTCTCTGGAGGGCCCAGCCCCGTCTGTCTATAATATTTTACCTAACTTAGCTATCTATAACAAAAGGGCAAGTGGAAGGTCTTTAAAAGCTTCATGTTGCCTGTGTAAACTTCAACCTCTTTAAGGTAAAAGGAATCCCACAAATTGCAATCTAAACGTAGTGCCCAGTTGAAATGCCATATGAATTTGCTCGAGTCCCTGAATGTCCACTGCTGAGTCACAGTTTGATTCTTAATGAGCCCTGGGAAGCTGTCACTGATTGTTGTGAACCATCATGATGGCTTCGAAATGATGACCACAGACCCTTGGAGATCAATAACTATGGATGCCCTGAGAAGCTGCCAAGCCTCTAAAACACCCAATGACAGGGAAATGCACCCTGGAAAGGAATTGAAAGTGAAAAGGCAGAAGGTACTGTGTGCTTGAGAGATAAAACAATGGCAATCCCTTCATTTAAATCTCACTCCTGATCCCAGTACTCAGGAGGCTGAGGCAGGAGGATCACTGTGAGTTTGAGGGCAGCTTGGGCTACATAGTGAGTTCAAGGACAGCCTGAACTACACAGAGAGACTCTGTCCCCAAAAAAAAAAAAAAAAAAAAAAAATCTCACCTCTGAATGTAATACTTTAAAGGCCTTAAGAAATGAGAAATAACAGATAAAATAATGTATGTTTTGAGGAGCCCAGTAACAAGCCTGTAATCTTTACTGCAGCATTTTTTAAAATGTGAGATCAGTTCTAAAGGGAAACTGGGTCTTTAGTCTAAACAGCAACAGGCACAACAATTTATTCTGTTTCTGTTTAGTACTTCCTGCACGAATTTCAGGCAGGCGGACCCCTGAGTCTTAGTTTAGATTCTGCAGCAGGAGTCTGTAACCAAACACCTTTAAGCCACTAAGGTAAAAGAGGCCCTGTGCCTGCCACCAACAGAATTTAACTGACCTTGGCAGCTTAAATTAAATAACAAACAGAAACATAATAAAAGTCACTGTCCCAGAAAGCAAATTTCAAAGTTGTGTCCGGCATCTGACTAAGAGGTAGTGATATTTAAATAAAAGGTAGGAAATAGAAAATAAAAAGGAAATAGGAATGGATGTTTTTATGTTTTTTGATATAACCAGGAGAAATGTAATTATCTGCCAAAAAGGGGAAAAAGGCAATAACTTTTCCTCTCCAATTATTTGAGGAAATAATGAATTGAGTTTCATTCTCTAGGGTCTCAGTGACCTCTATTTACCTCCTCTGTGCCTGGGACCCCGGATTCACTAGCTGGTCCCTTAGTGACAAACAGCCAGAGTAGAGCTGGCAGAGGCAGTGTGAACAGAGTGAGACTAACAGAGTTTCTGTGATCCAGGACATGCTGCAGGAGCCTTCCTTCTCCCTGCCTTACTGGGATTTTGCAACTGGGAAAAACGTGTGCGATGTGTGCACTGACGACTTGATGGGTGCCAGGAACAGCTTTGATTCCACGCTCATCAGCCCCAACTCCGTCTTCTCCCAGTGGCACATGGTCTGTGAGTCCTTGGAAGACTACGACACTCTGGGGACACTTTGTAACAGTAAGTTCCAGATGAAAACCCACCCTCAGGATTCCATGTGAGAGGAAGAGAGTAAGCATGCTGCTGGAAGCCCTATTCTACACAGTATTTGAGGGTAAAATCTGTTATTATTACCGGAGAGAGTCAGTATGCAGATGCTCCTTGGATGCCTGTGGTATGCAGGGCAGTCTACAAGGTGCTCCAGAGAAACAGAAAGCACCTGTGCATTTTTACATTGCTGTTCTTGATGAACTTGGTCACGGCATTGCCAATTTCCTGATTTTAGAAACGGCTGGTTGTACAAATTAATCCTCTTAGCACACTCAGCACTACTTAGTAGTCATGTGTCTTAGGTTGGAATTTCAAAGAAAAGCTTTCTTGGGAAAATCTGAAATAGGAAAAAGAGTTTTGGAAATGTTGAGGGGGTGAGCTAGGAAGGGATGTAGAAAAGAAGGAAAGAACATAAAGAAAATTCTTTGTGTTTTTTCAGTCAGAGTTGAAAAACTCAAGCTGATATCAGGGAGTCAGATCAGTAAGGGAAGATACAGTACAGGTGGAGTTGCCAGTTCCTGTTCTTCTGCCCTTGCAAAATAAATGTAAGAGATGCTGGGTTGCCCTAGAAGCATCCTCCAGAGAGCTGAATGCTTCCATTGTAGGTCAGGTTTCTTTTATGTGGATCTATTCATGAGTTTCTTACTCTTTTTCTTGCATCATGTAATTATTAACAGGAGGCCTTAATTATTAGAAGTTCCTATTCCATCTAATTTTTTCCTTCTTCAGGCGTTTATGCATATTTTGAACATTTGCTCTTGTACATAAAAACTAGAAGCATGGGAATGTATTTTATTATTTTATTCATATATTATTTTGCAATACTCATGCATCAAATATTAAATTATTTTGTAAACTTAAAAGAATATTCTAAACAGATCAGAAAAAATTTGGTACATGTAGTCATTTCACCATTAGAATATTTAGAAATGTATGTGCTATGTACAGAAATAAGAAATGTGATGGGTATCAAAGTTCCCACTGTAAGTGATCAAAACTTAGAATAAATTTTTAATTGTTTGACAAGCTGAAAGAGTGGTTCCACCTTATGGCAGAGAAAGGAAATTGAGGATCATGGACTCTTCATACTTGAACATTCATCTCTTTCTGGTGAGGCCACTGTATTTGGGCCTTACACTTTCGTAGGCATTTTCCAATCATACTGATGATTAGATACCAAAATAAACATAATTTAACATAACATAGAAGGGAAGATGAAACATGAAGATATTTTCTTTTATCAGAGTTTTTCTTGTCAATTAATATGTATGTCTCATAATTTAGAAAGATAGTTTTTGAACCAATTGAAAAATTTTCTTAAGATTGCTCAGTTCAAGGTGTAAATACCAAGCATTTTATTTATTAGGCAAGATAGGGAAAAATGAACTTCACCTATTATTGAGCACATATTTCAGATTGGAATTTAAGTTTGTGAGATTATTTTGGCAAAATTTAATTTTCCACTGCATTTTTATTTCAATACATTGGCTTGAAAAAGCATATCCTGCTTTAACAATTACCAGATCCTTATTTGTCAGCGTGATACTTTTTCCTTCAGACGTTTTTATGTATCACATATTTACTCACAGAAGTAGGACATGGAAACTTAGTTTTGGGGGGGGTTTTTTCACTTTAACGTTACTAAGCATGCATTTTTTTTTTTTTTTTTTTTTGGTACCGGGGATCGAACTCGAACTCAGCAGACTGCGAAACCACTGAGCTAAATCCCCGGCCAAGCATGCATTTTTAAATTTGCTGACTGCTCAGGAGGACCTCTTTTGCAGTGTCTGTGCTTACAGAGTGTTTTAGGAAGCAGTGCTGAGCGCTCTGGAGAGTCTTTCATGCTTGTCTCCCCATTCTCTCAGGCACGGAAGGGGGCCCCATCCGGAGAAATCCAGCTGGGAACGTGGCGAGACCCATGGTCCAGCGTCTTCCTGCTCCACAGGACGTGGCTCAGTGCTTGGAAGTTGGCGTATTTGACACTCCTCCCTTTTATTCCAACTCTACAGACAGTTTCCGAAACACAGTAGAAGGCAAGTAAATGCAATGGGAGCTTTGAAATGCTCCAGTTATGAGAATGAATGAAGAAGCCCAGATTAGGCTTTTGTAAAAAGTAAAATACCTTGTTGATCCTGTGAGTATGTATGAATAGAGCCACCTCTTACAATTTAGCCACAGTTTTCTGTTCTCTAATTATTATAGCAGAAGGCATTGGAAATTATTCTCCTTTTGTATAGCTAAAAACTACTTAAAATCAAATTCCTGGTGGCTAGCTGGCCAGTATGTATAACAATATCAAAATTTAACATTGCCAAATAATATTGAAGATGTGTATAAAACAATTTCTTTTTTTAAAAAAAGCATTACAGTAAAAAAACTCCAAATAATTAGATGACTTGTATAAACACTGGTTTGAGGATATGTTTCATTAAGGTTGTATGGTCCTATAACTCTATATAAAAGTTTACTGAAAATTCAAATTAGCATCTAGTGATTCATAATTCGTTTTTTTCATTTAGTGACATTTTGATGCTATTTTAAAGCTGAGGTAAAGGAAATCCAAACAGATGAAAGGATGTTCTCAAGATATTCAGGGAGTAATAACAGTGCAGACACAAATCCAAATTAAATATAAATTTCAATAACTCTAAATCATGCTTGACACATATATAAACTATTAAAAGACATATGATTACACATAAATGTATTGTAAGCATATTACTGTTAAATTTCCTTAAATATAGCCCTGGACATGTTAGGGTATATCCGCCCACCCATGGGAAAAGATCTCTCAGTCCTGTTTGAATATACTTATTTGGAGATGATTCAATAAATAATTACTGTATTTTAACTAAATTATATCTATAAACTAAGACTGTAAGTACTGCTTTCTAAAATCCACAGATATTAACTCAGTGCACAATCAAAAAACGATTTATGCTGATTTCCAGACAGAATGTATAAAAAGAATAGTGCTTAGCCACATGCCATGTACATGATAGGCATTCTTTAAGTGTTTGTACAATTAAAAAATAAGGGAATAAATGTATGGAAATGAATGAATGAATGGCTATAGCTACACAATGTTGCTTCAAGCCAATTGCACACACTTCTAACTCCATTCTACATCACTGACTCTCCATTTGTATTTGTGATTTGTTCAGTATCTATTCTCATCTCCTCACCAATATGGTGGCACCTCGATTCACAAATGCTTTTGTTTGTGAAAAATGTGTTTCACAAACGGAAGCATTTGGCAAAATTTTGTTTTTGTTTGGGGACAAACTCTGCATCAGGTGGCAAACACATATGGGGCCATCTTTCCCAGAAGCGTGGAATGAATTGTTTGTGAACTGAGGTATCACTATATAAAGAGATACTTATCAAAAGTTCTATAAATTTTTTTAATTTAAAATAACTTTATTATCAAACACATACACATATAAAAATGAAAACCATTCAAAGAAGAGCAATGCAAGGGAAAAAAACTACAATAATATTCAAATATAGTAGAACTCAACCAAAACAAAACTGAAAAGCACTTCAACATTTTTCCATATAACTTAAAAAAGTTTAAATGTTTTGACAGTAGGTTTTTCAGTATATAAATGGTAAGGAAATGCTAAGAAAAATTTAACTGCCCCACAAAATAATTCTCCAAAAATAAACATGCTGATAGTCATCCAAAAGGAGCAAAGTGAGGATGAAAAGCAACATCTGGCAATTTAAGCTGCAGGAATGGAGTGCTCCCAACTGTGTCAGCAGTTTTAGTCAAAACTGGAGAGTTCCACTCTCTTGGTTTCCACGGAGAACAATGTCTACCTTGCCAAAATGGAATGTTCTATATATTTTGACTGGTATCCTTTGCAGGTCATTATTTTTAACCTGCAGGCTACATTTAGAATATCACATTACTAGTTTAACAGAAACCTAGTTCTGAGTATAGCAAGGAAATGTCATCAACCATTGATACAGAGAAGCAATGCTATGATATTAATGCAAAAGTTCAGCTTGACAAACCTTGGAAAAATTATGTCCCAAGACAATCCCTGCTGCTGGTTGAGAAATAATGAGATATTTGCAATGTTTTCTACCCTTTGCATCCTTTGAATCTAGGTTACAGTGATCCCACAGGAAAGTATGACCCTGCTGTTCGGAGCCTTCACAATTTGGCCCATCTATTCCTGAACGGGACAGGAGGACAAACCCACTTGTCTCCCAATGACCCTATTTTCGTGCTCCTGCACACATTCACTGACGCCATCTTTGATGAGTGGCTGAGGAGATACAATGCCGGTGAGTCACTTCCATGTGCTTCTTGCATAGGGCATTGTTCGGTGGCATAGTTAGCAGTGTGTGCTCGCTCTCGACACTCATGAAATACACTTCAGAACAAGGAGAAAAGAGCTGCATGCTCTGACCATTCCCAGATATTCACAACCACTCTGAAATTGCAGACATCCCTCAAAATATTTACTTTAAGATGACATTTATTATGTCATTTACTAGAGATAACCAGGTAATCTCTTCTCATTTTGGCTACAAAAATATGACTGCCACCTTTCCCAAATTTTTCTTCTCCATATCTTCCAGCAGACATTCTCATAGCCTTTTTAAATGAATGAGAAAACCTTACAAAGCTCTTCTCTGCTGCCCCAAAAGATCAAAATTTTATAGCCATATTCCACGGTTCTGTGTTTTATTGCTTTATGGCCTCATATAATGGAAATTTTGTTCATCTTCAAAAGTTAATGTTGATTTTTATGTCACACCATAGGAAATCTCTTTTAGGCTTATTTCAATATGTTCTTTAAAATATTATGTAAAAGGTCTCTTTTTCTGCACTCTTACTCAGTTGAAAGATTTGCATTATTTTCAAACCATTAAAATGCTTTTGCTGGTTAAAACATAACTTTTCATGTTTTTAAAATATTATAATTTTTTACTTGTTTTCCTTTACTTCATTATGCACATAAAGATAGCATTAGAGGTCAATTGTCTACTGATTTATCCATCCAGTGAAGCCAGTCTTGTGTGCGTGCGGTGGGGGCAGGGGGGGTAAAGCCCCGTAATCCAACCTGTTTGGGACATTTAATTGAGGAGTAAGTCCGAACAGTTTATTCCACCAGAAAATCATTTAGAATAAAAGTAACTTGCACATAATTTTAGAATTCCTTAATTTTAGAATTCAGTTATTGGAGTTCCACTTTATATTTTCTATTTGTGTACGTAACTACAACCACAGCAACTTATCTATAATTTGCAGTGTCACAGCTCTTTTTTTCAAGTGAACCAAGAAATTAAGGCTTTTGTGCTGCACTCTTGAGTGTAGTAGTCTAGATTTTCGTGCCTCTTTATTGCATGCTTCCTAATCTACAGCTGTATTTCATCTATTCACTTTTAACAAATCTTCCCAGAGTGTTGAATCTCTTTTTATAAACATAGTTATCACTTTATTTTTATTTAACTACATTACTTTTATTATAGTAACAACTGGAATTAATAGGTGTAGGAATTATTAAAACCAACTTTTGTTACATATACATTATGGGTACTCAACAGCAACATACAAGTTATATTTATCTAGTCATTCCAGTATCTTGGGTGTCAGTGAATTTTTCAGAGGAAATGGAGAATCTTAATGTGGCAAGTCACTTAAGTGAATTTTCTTTCAATTATAAAAATATGTATTCTATTGCCTTTCATATACTGATTTAAAAATAATCATTTCACATTCATAGTAATTTGTTAAAGATTCCTCAGATTTTAATTTAAATGTTATTGTTGAATAAGAAAAATTACTTTGATTTTTCTTTACCTCCTATTCCTTTCTGTCGAGTTATATGAAGCTTAAAGTTTTTAGTTTCCTTTAAGTAGTGAGGAGAGAAATACCATAAATTCAAAGTAGAAAATTATCCTGCACAATATTTCTGATAAAACTTGACCATAAAATTATAGGACAAGTCAATGCAAATACTTATAAATTGCATGAAAGCTAAACCCAATAATTATCTTCTTAAATATTCATATACTTGTAAATAACCCTTGGAAAGCTGGACGTGGTGGTGCTCCCAGCACTTGGGAGGCAGAGGGAGGAGGATCCCCACAAGTTCCAGGCCAGCCTGGAACCTGGACCCTGTCTCAAAAACAAAACAAAAAAATCCCTTGGAAAACAATTTAATAAAATAACTATTTGTTGTTTATTTGTTGAAGAAAAATTAAAAATATAAGAAGAGTTTCTACAACTGTCCATAAAGCATGAGTCTTTTTTAAGATAAGTCTAAAAGTAGTGAATGAGATCATTTTTTGAAATGTATTGCTTTATAGATATTACAGATGCTTCAAGAATCATAGAATTATTAAAATACATTCTACACATCAACAGCAAATGCTGGTGGGTTGTGAGGAAAAAGGAACCCTTCTCCACTGTTGGTCGGAGTATAGACTGATGAAATCAGTGTAGATATTCCTCAAAAAACTAGGATTAGAGGTCCTATTTGACCCAGCTATTCCCCTTCTGGGTATACTCTTGAAAAAATTAAAAGCATCTTACCTCAGCCATGAGCACCCATGTTTATAGAGGCATAGTTTGTAATAGGTACATCTTGAAAACAGCCCAAATGTCCATCAACTGGTGATTGGATAAAGAAGATGTGGGGTTTTTTTGTAAAATGGAGTACCACTAAGCCATAAAGAAGGATAAACTAGAGACATTTATAGCTAAATGGATGCACATTGAGGCCATACTCTTAAGTAAAATACGTAGGACACACATGTAAATACTAAATTGTTCTCTGGTGTGAGAAACTGAAAGCATAGATGAGGACCAAAATGTATAATAGAAAAAAATAAGAACAAAGATATATCATGTACAGGTACAAATTCCCAATGATGAATGTGATCATATTGTATACCTAAAATATACCAATAAATTTAATGACTATAAAAGAAGGACATATATAATTAACAATACATTGTACACATTGAAATCCCCTCCAAAACATATGAAACTAGAAGGGAGGGTGGGGAGACAGAGGGAGAAATGATCACAGTTTGTTAGGAGCATGCACAAATCAGCCCCAAAACTGTAGAACCCATATGCACTAATTTAAAAATTACATAATTATAGGATTAATTATTAGAATCACAAAGGAGTGAGAATTGCATTTTATAGTTAAAGGAAATTACATTTGTTTATGGAATAGTGTGCATTGGAGTCCCCATATTAGACATGATGTAGTTCAATACAAAGCATCAGAACTCTGCCTACAACGACCCTAAATTCTACTCATTAACATTAAGGATCTGTGTAGCAGGTAATTTAACTCTCCCCTTTCTCAACTGAGAATTGAGTTAAGTTTTAGACATAGCAGCACAGAAGTTCGGTGCATTTTCAGAAGAAGCAGTTTATACCTTTCCTAGAATGATTACTGCTATATTTGTCAAGCTGTGAGAGAAATGAAGTGCTCACACACACACAAATAAATGCTTTCACAAATATTATCTGAACACCTACTAATTCTGGGCTGCATTTCAGTTACCAAAAGTAGCATGCAAACCTCCAGAAAAAAAAATTTTCCTCTTGGAAATTTCCTACCTGTTGGTAGAACTCAAAATAAACAAGGGTAAATAAATATGCACTATGTTAAATGGCAAAGAGTCTTTTTGTGACAAAGTCAGAAGGAAAACACAGCAGATACTCAAGGTCATTGGGTTCCATTTTAAGAGAGATAGGGCGCTTTCAAAGAGTCATGTATAGGGAAATAAGATGAAAATCCAATTGCTATTATTACTTTCACTATTATTCCTCCACTTAGTTTAGTAAACTTAACGCTATCAAACAATTGGAGCTAAACTGGTGTGAGGTTGGGCAAGGCAAGAAAGATGAAGGAAAATGGAAAGTTTAAAAATTTATCTAAAGTGTTAGCCTTAATAAGGAATTTTATCAAATAACAATACCAACTGGAATGAGAGTTACCTGAGGACAAGAATTTTGCCTGTTTTGTTCAGTGCTATGGCCCATGACTAGACCAGTAATCATTTTCAATGAATAAATATTGTATAATTTAATAATATAATATTATGCCAATTCTATGTTCAAGTTTTCCTCTGCCTAGATGCTAAAGCATCTTCTGTAATTCGTAGGATCACAGTGACAGTTCAGGTCGTAGGCCTCTGGCAAACAGAAAAGCTAATACCTAGCTGCCCTTCTCACTAATGTCCTGCACAAGCCAACTTCCTGTTTTGGTTTTGTGACATTCCAATTGGCATTTAACTGTATATTTAATTATGTAGAACAAATGACAAGAGGAACGAACGACTCTTTGCCACGATGAACCTACCATTCCTTTTATCTCTAATGACAGAAACACACTAATAATGTAGATGTCTCTTATTTAAATGGCTTAATGTCTAAGTACACAAAGGAGAGAGGACAAGAAATTCACTGGATTGCAAGAACTTCATTCAAATTCTTAAGTATATTTTGCTAACAGTAAAACTGTGAGAATAATATTTATATTGATTTCTCTAAAAGGAAACAGAAAAAGAAAAAATATTAAACAGAAATACTGAGACTCAAAGGCAACATCCAATAGATATACTATCTCTCAAATTTAAATTACAGATCATCCTATTGCAGGTCTATCTTTTCTTTAGCTTTAAAAAATAAGTTTAATAAATTGTATTCAAATTATTTTTCATAATTTAAAGTAAAACAATTGACACTGTAGACGATAAACGCTAAACTTCCTTTTTTTTGTTTTTTATTAGGTGCATGTTGATGCTACATTCAAAACATTTGTACTGTTTTATGTAATTCTCTGTTCAGCTAGAGTGAAGCTTTCTTTTGAGTTTTTGTTCAGTGTAAAATATAAAGGACATTTTTGCAGGTTCTCCTCAAATATAGGACACCTTCAGAACATAATAATGAGATTAATATTAACTTTGTGTCTTCTAACAAGTTATCTTTGGAATATTTTAGATATATCCACATTCCCATTGGAGAATGCCCCCATTGGCCATAACAGACAATTCAACATGGTGCCATTCTGGCCTCCTGTTACCAACACAGAAATGTTCGTTACCGCTGCAGACAACCTTGGATACACTTATGAAGTGCAATGGCCAAGTGAGTGTTGAAAATGTATTTTCACTGTGGTGCATTCTAAAACCAAATTTGTTGTCTTTAAAGTCAAATCATCACAGTATTCTCAGGTTACATTTTCTGTTAGGATTTCGAAGCTTTTCATTGAGACTTTTATTTGGGAGTAGAGAGGGGATTTAACATCTATTGAGAGCCCATTCTGACCAAATGCTGAGCTGATTATGTATCAGTGTGTCCTATGCTCCTCACAACTCTTTTAAAGTATTATGTCTCATTTTTGCAAATGAGAAAACCAACCCTTAGAGAAGTTAATTGTCTAAGGTTACATTTCCTTTAAGGAAAGAGAATGAATTCTTGCCTCTGTCTCTTTATAAAGGAAGACAGATTTGTGTATTTTAAGCTACTTTTACTGAGATTTTGAAATTCAAAATGTTCTTGCTCAGTTTTAAATCTCTTTCTCAACAAGGGCCGTAGAGCTTAGAAGAAGAGCACAGGATTTAGATTTTGAAAAATCTGGCCTCCAAAATCAACCAGTTCTCACAAACCAAATGACACTGGACAAGGAACTCAAGCCATCCTTTTTCACCTTTAACATGGAAATAAGAGTAACTGTCCCCATACGGTGCACTTAAAAAAAAATTAAGAGAGTACCAAGAGGACTTTGTGTTGCAAAATGTGGCCAATAAAAATTAAGTATTTCTGTTAAAGTACGTAGAAGAGTGCCTAAAGTTGAGATGTCTAATTTTTTGTGATAACTATTTTAATATTTATTTTATTTACTGTCATTTTCTATTTCAAGCAGGCCAGAACTTTAGTATCTCTGAGATTGTTACCATAGCAGTAGTCGCTGCTCTCTTGTTGGTTGGACTCATTTTTCTTGGCATCTCTTGTCTGATTCGTGCCAGAAGCAAAATGGACGAAGCCAGTCAGCCTCTCCTCATTGACCAGTATCAACATTACGATGAAGGATACGAAAAAGTCCAGAATCCTAATCAGCCTACGGTCTAATGACAAGCTCCTCACCCTCTTACACATTACTGTCAGGAAACAGCCTGGTTAAAAATTAGTAGAATGAGCTACAAACTAGATTTTCTTTCATTTGTTACTTTCTTATACAAGCCTACGTTGTACTTAAAGCATTGCTTTCCAAAGGTGAGAAGAGTAATTCAGAATCTTTTGAATTTCTAATTGTCAGCTCTATTTAAAATGTTCAGTTGCACCAAATCCATGACATTTAAAAGCTAGTATGGGGCCGGGGATTTAGCTCAGTGGTTTCGCTGCCTGCTGCATAAGCACAAAGACCCAAGTTCAATCCCCGGTACCAAAAAATAAAAAATAAAAAATAAAAAAAATAAAAGCTAATGTGATGATCTTTGTCATACTTCAAAGATTGACTATACAATGTAAACAAGTTGCTATGCTTTGTTTATGTGAAAGGAAAATAAAGTTTGATAGTAGTCTTTTTAAAATGCACAACCAAGCACTTCTACACTGTCAAAATGTAAAAGCATTTTTATTGTTGACATAGGTCAACACATATATAAGCAGCAGCATTTATTAGTTAAAATACATTACATGGAATTATAAATAAATGGGATGTTAATGAACTTTTTCAAATTGGTCTTCTCAGTTGAGCTTCAGCACGTATTATTTAGCCCCAGCTTCAAGACCACCACAAAGTCACACTCTTTGCCACACACTGAAGAAGTGAAAGCTTCCCTTTGTTAAGAAACAGCTGCTATTGTCTATTTGCTGCTGTGTTTCCCTCGGCCTCAATTCACTGAAGATGGAACTCCATGCTTTTCACCTCCTAGCTCACACATCTCTCTGCCTAATTCCTCTTCCTCCTCCTCAGGGTTCCCAAAGAAAGCACAATTAAGCCTCATTTAAGCAGCGTTCTCTTATCATTTACCAGAATCTGTGGGCATCTGCAAAATAAAATATTAAAAAACTGTTTTGTTTGTCCCTGTCTCAACCCAGTTCTGCAAGAATGCTGGTTTTTCTATGATTTAATACGAAGTTTTTTCTGGTTTTGATCTTGCATATGAAGCAATATTTCCTAAATGAAGTATGTATGCTGTACATAAATGAATAAACATTATAATTAAAATCATAATGGTAAGAAGAAATAACTATAGTAATCATACCCTATAGACAATGACTAATTTGATGCTCCCAACTTTCTATCCAGAAAGCAGATTAAGTTACATACACCTGCTTGGTTACTGTTTTTCTTAAGGCTATGTACACAAGATAAGCAGAAAAAAACTAAACAGAATGGCATAAAAGTAAGACTGTTTTAAATTTTCATGTAGAATTACTCAATTGGTTCCCTTAAATACATTTCAATGTATTAAAGTAAATATCCATAGCATTTTAGAAAAATTATTGTGTAATGTAGTTTTTATATAAAACATCTGTGGAACTACATACCCCCACTTCCAATTTTTTGGACATTTATAATTACTCATTTCAGACATATTTATTAAGCACATACTAAATTGCAGTGATAGTTCAAGGCACTGTGGATTTTTGGAGGAAAAAGTCAGGACTGTAAAATTGAGAAGGTCATATTTCACTTAGGCTTCAAGGAATGCCAATGGATTTACCAAATATAAAAGCAGAGAAGGGCATTCTATTCAGAAGTGACAGCATGAGCAAAGGCACAGAAGTTTGAAAGATCATGGAACATTCAAAAATATAAAGTAGGTCAGTGTGGTTAGATCATAGCTTTCATGGAAGAGAGTGGAAAGATTAAATTGGAAATAAAACCAGAATGTCCTATATGCAATCCTAAAAAGTTTGGAATTCATTCTGTGGAAAAAAAGGAACAAAGTCATAAATAAAACGTATTTTTAAAAGATAACAGTGGCAGATATATTTATAACTAAGGTTGATGAGGAAAAGTAATTATATCAGTTTAAACATGAAGGTGACATTCCAATTTTTCAATGTTTTCTTTAAAATGTGGCTTTACTAACTAATTTCCATATGTTAATATGGAACAGTTCACGGGAGAGAGAAAGAAGGCCTGTCCAAATATGAACATTAGCTTTAAATAATTCTAACTATAAGAAAGCTATCCACATTATCTTATAAATACAACTGCATCATTTTATTTTTCTCACTTTCACAGAATTTTATTTATTGTATAGATCTCTAAGATCTTATTATTCCTATAATATGTCATACTATTCACAACAAATAATACACATTTGATATCTTGTTGATTTTTACTCTCTTCTCTGCCCTCCAGTTCTCTGACAATGAGATTATTATGCACTCACTGGAAAACAAATTTGACACTGCTTTTGAAATCCATTCTTTCCTATTGCTTAAGTACCCATTTTAAGGCCACCACCCATGCTGACTTTTAGAGCATAAATGGTGTGAGTGAAAATGCCTAGCTGGACATTCCCATACAACCAAGAATAAAAAGCTATTATATCTGTGGCCCCAATTATGTCCTGTCTTTGTTCCCAGAAACAGATTTCAGAGGTAATGCCAAATTACAGTTTCTTGCAATTAAAAAAAAATTAATAAAAGGGAAAAAGAAACCTGAGGCTAGTGATTTAACTCTTCCAAGATTTAGTTGTAAGATATTTATTCTGGGCTCAGTTCATGAATATCAAATAAAGCTATAAATTTTTGCCCTTGTCTACAATCTGGTTAAAATTTGCATCAACCAGCAAACAAATACAGGATCCAGTTGGGAAGAGAGCTAATAAGAAATGGAAAAAAAGATTTAAAATATTGGTATGCCAAGAACAGAGCCCGATAAGAAAGAAATAAAATATCATAAGGAAAGATGCAAAATATCCTAGGTTAAAAACATGACTGCAAGATTAAATGGTAAAGAAATGCAAGAACTAGCCAGATACTTTATAAAATAATCAGATTTTAGTGAATTTCAAGTTTAATAAAAGCCAACATTGCAATACTACCGAGGGGGAAGATGGTATACAACCGATAGAGGAGGAAAGTGCTTACACACTGAGCTTCACTGATACATAAAGAGAAATCTGTGCTGTCCCAGTCATATCCAAAGTATTCATGCACTTAACACCACATGGTAAGGGTCACACTGACAAATTGGAATGTCTACCTTCATCTTTTAAGCCTAAGAGAGAAACTCAGAAGACATCTTTCAGTTCTACAATTTTTCTCATTTCTCACATCCAATTAATAATTAATAATAAAAATACATGGTCAGCATCAGTTGAGTATTATATCCTAAATTCTGAACTCCTCATCTGAAGAGACTTTGCCCCCAGAGGACCTTGGCCAGGTGAGAGAGCACTTTGGGCTCACAACAAGATTGGCGTTATTATTGCATTCTAGTGGGGACAGGGCAGAAATGTAACTAAGTATCCCATAATGCACAGGACAAACCTGATGTTAAAAATTGGTCCAGCCAAAATGTCAACGGTACTGAAGTTAAGAAAATTTGATGTAAGGCTACAGGAATAAATAACTTCCCTACTGCTACTGGCCACCAGACCTTAGTAGCTAACTGGAGAGCCCAACACGCACCAGTGTCTATTAAGAAGCCAATATTTTCTTACCTGTATAAAGTTCAAGGAATAAGGAGTAAAAAGTAGCTAAGGCAGTAGTCCAATGATAGCTTCAGAAACACAAGTTCTATGTAACTTCTTTCCACCACCTTCAATATGTAGCCTTTTGCTGTTTTATGTATAATGTCAAGACTGAAAAAATAACTGGTATATCTTTAAACTTTATATCCATTCCATGCAGAAATTTCCCTTCTTTACCAGAAATGAATATCTTCCCAAATTTTTTGATTATATCTCATCAAAAGTTTATCGTATGGCAGAACAATTGAGAAAGTTGAGGAATTTGGTTGGTTGACAATTTGGCTGCAAGGTTGGTTGCCATCCTGAATAAAATCAGAATTATAATAGGAAAGAATGAGAGACAATGAATTCTGGATTGTGGCATGAGTATTGCCTCAACAAATATGAAAACAATACAAATATTTAATTATAGCAGTATGAATGAGACACACAGGGTGCTTTTTAAAAGATCTGACAAGGCACTAGGACTTGGTTAGGTGATTATAGATTTACCTGAAGAAGTGGCAAGCTGGATTCTAAAGGATTTTGCAAACTGCTGGAAAAGTTAAAAGCAGGGTTGTAGGCACAGAGAAGAACATGCAATATAACTGTAATTTGGAAATGAGTTTTTTTAAAACCACTGTACTGAAGTATGACTGACATACAACAAGCTGTTCATATTTAATATATATAACCTGATAATTTTGGAAACAAATATATTCTCATGAAATGATCACCACAATCTATACATAAATATGTCCACCTAGATAGATATAATCCAGAAATTTCCTCCCCCTCTCTTTATTTATATCTACTTCCATAAGAAGTTTTAAATTATGAAATACAGTCTTGTTAACTATTGGCAGTACTTCATGCTGTAAGTTGCTAAGACTTATTTATTAACTCTTATTTTTGTAAAGAAATTTTAGAACCTTTAATACCACCTTTATCTCCTCTCCATGACTCCTGGAAACTACTATGAATTGTCTGCTTCTATGAGTTTGGTTTTTTTTTAGAGTTGATAGATATGTGAAATTGTATTTTTCTTTCTGTACCTGGTTTATTTCTCTGCATATAAAGTCCTCCAGATTCATCCATATCACAAATGGCAGAATTTTCTTCTTTTAAAGACTGAAAATCATTTTATTGTATGCATACACATTTTCATCTACTCATCTGTTGGGGACATTTATTTTGCTCCCTTGCCTCAGCAACTGTGAATTATTCATCAACAAACAAGACAATAAAAATGTCTCTTTTAGACCCTGATTTCAAATATTTTGGATATATAACCAGAAATGAGATTACGGGATCATAAACTCTATTATTCATTTTCTGAGAATGTCTACATTTTTTTCATAGTTATTAGTGTGCCTTCCCACTAACATTGCACAGATTCTGTTTTAATCCCATTCTCATGAATGCATGTTGTCTTTTCATTACTTTTTTTTTTTTTTTTTTTTTTGGTACCAGGGACCAAACTCAGGACCTTGTGCTTGCAGGGCAAGCGGGGGAACCACTGAGCTAAATTCCCAGCCCTTTTGATTACTTTTTTATATTAGTCAACCTAACAGATGTGATTCTCCTTGTAATTTTGATTTCAACTTCCCTGATTGTTAGTGATATTCAGCATTTTTTCATATGCTGTTAGCTATTTTTAAGTCTTTCTTCCATGTATTCAGTATTACTGAATTACTTTCTTCTATGTATTCAATTCCTTTGTCCATTTCTAATTTGATTAATTGGTTTTCGGGCTATTGAGTTGTGTGAAATTCTTGTATATTCTGTTATCAATTTCTTACTATACTTTGCGAATATAGTCTCCAATTCTGTAGGTAGCCTTTTCATTCAGCTGATTGTTTCCTTTGTTGTGCAGAAGCTTTTAAGTTTGATGTTGACCCAGTTGTCCAGTTTTGTTTTTGCTGTCTGTGCTATTAATGTTATAGCCAAGAAATCATTCCAAAGAAGAATGTCAAGAAGCTGCACACCTATGATTTCTATTATGAGCGTAACAGATACAAACCTTAAATTTCAATCTCTAATATATTTGAGGTTTCTTTTTTTTACTTTGACACAGATAATCCAAAATCACAGATAATAAATAATAATTTTATTTGGTCTTGGAACATTCTCATAAATTATGTAAAATATGACTGCCTACTACTCTGTAAATTTACAACTTTAAACAAAATAATACACAGTGAATTAGAAACTCATCAAGCTTTCTCAGTGTGTGAAATTATTCCTTAATCTTTATTGTTACCACTAAACAAAACAGTATTTTGCGTGAGTCTGAAATTTCTGTTATTTGTGTTCAATGCCATCCCTGAATTGGAAGAAATGAGGTATTAACTCACTTTCCACCACATTAAACATCTTGAGGTATATAAATGTATGGTTTTTGACCTATGTCAGTACCTCAAGAAAATTTTAAATGATATATGAATCAATGATACTAATATGAATTGAAAATAAAAATAAAATGTAGGTAGCCTTAACTGTAAAAT